AGTGTCATGACCTACAAAAGCATGGACGGATGTTAGGAAGAAAGCACGACACTACTCACTAACAAAAGACAGACAAAGGGTGGTGGGAACTATCGTAAATCCTGCCTGTCACATCTTCTTTCTTCTCTTCCCCTCCTACTTCAAGAGGAACACCAGCGGCCAAGTACTATAACAATGGAGATATCCACGGCTCGATAAAGCAACCCTTTGTGCAAGTCTCAAAACAAAGTCTTTCTCTGACGGTATCGATTCAAACATGCGCTCTTCACCGGTGAAGATGCACATTTTGTAATCCCCCTTGACATTTTTCTTCCTGTTCATATTTCATTTCGTTTTATCTTCCGGGAACAGCATGTATATTTTGTTGTTTTTAATTACACAGAACTTCCATGGCAGCGGTTATTTGTGTACTTTATAGGATTTTCGTACCGCACAATACAGCGCTAACATATTTTGCATGGCTCATTGATTTGTGAAAAGCTGAACACTGTCCAAAGTACTTTCTAGTACAATGTAAAAGTACACAAATATTGTGTAATAAATTCGATGTTCAGGTATTTAAAATGTCAAGGATCAGATCACCTGCTGTTTGTAGTGATTAACGAAGTCTTTGAATTTCCTCACAAAATGTCATAGTTTTGAAACAAATCTTGATTTATTATAATAATAAAATTCTTCAGAAAATCGCATACCCTTGCTTGTATGTTTGTAACCTTTATATTCCTGTGGTCTGGTCCATTATTATGGCGTGGTTCATTATTATGGTGACGATTGCAAAAATTGTACGCGAAACATATTTTCTGATGTAAAAACTAGACTTTCATTTATTCCTTTGTTCTCCTTGGAACCCTGAAATAGAACTCTCGAGGACACAAGTTTGGAAGCCAGTGTTTACGAAGACAAGCACTCAATAAACTTCAACGGGAAGACAACTCGATCCAATTTTTTACTCAATCAAACGGATGAACGAGCATTTCCGAGGACTTGCATGGCGGAAAGAGAGAGGGGAAAGCTTCATTAAGTTTAAGGTCTCTCGGCTTAACTTGGAGTTCGATCAATTCCAGAGCAATTGGGTTTCATTTAGCTTCATTGACAGGCAATCTCACGTCTCTGATGCTACAAGAATAGTCCCGTCATGAGAAATGAAATGGATCGATGCACCTCGCGTTGACTTACATAATAAGAACAAAACAACACGAAACCGGGGTGAATCTTGGCTCCAGAAATACAAGTTTGTCGTACTGTTTTTCTTTGTTGGAGATCATTTAAAGAAGCAAAACACACGTCGACGTGTCATATGGCATGCCCATTTTTCTCGAGGCTGCGATCATCACAATGAGCATCTTATGCTTCTTCAGGTACTTTGCGAGTGACACTAAAGATATGAGCGTGTTTAGCTAGTGAGTCAAAGCGGGGCTGATTGTTTATACACATGCAAAAGGAAGAGGAGGAGATATTTGAACCCACTAAAACAACATATCATTTGCCTATATGTTTGATTATTATTATTATTATTATTATAATTGTAGTTACAT